CACACAGTAGGGATTCAGGAAATATTATAGACTGTACACTGCATGCTTGTTGAATCCCAGGCTTTTAACCTTACCAGTAACCCCACAAACCAATGTAGTCTGGTAATGACAGCGTGTCTTGGCTTTGGAACACTCAGTTACCACTGTAGGTAGCATGATGGTTAGCTGGGATTGCTAACGATCGCAGCTTAAGCTCCAATACTGCTCTTGTGTTTTTTGGTTTGGGAGAAAAATTGAAATTACTACAGCTGCGGGTGCACTGCCTCAGCTTGTGGAAAAATCCAAAGCTTTACAGGCTCACCGTATATAATTAGTATGCTTGATAAGACCCTTGAATATTAAGCAATGCCTACTTTTAACCTCTCTTCACAGGTTATTGTCTGTATGTGGACCAAGCAGGAAGCACTGGTGGTGAAAAATGAAGCCACCATAGAAGTACCAAAACCTTGCTCAAAGTTATGAATAATTAAGGGTGTGGCTGCTTTGGGTGACAGGCTGTCTGCTGAGAGTGTCTTAGCATTTCAGTCAGATCCACCCCTCACCTCTCCACAGCACCAGCCTCTCCAAAAAACAAAATGGCAACGGCTGAAGTGCCGAACCTGAGGCTTCAAAACGTGGGTCCACAAACAATCGGGTGACATCATGGTAGCTTCGGTGATATTCCTTGTTGGACTGTTTCATTTGTAGGATTTTTAGAGGATAACAGATGTGGAAGTGTTGAATATTTTTTACAAGAAAGACATGCATTAGAGTCAAAATGTTGGAACATGTTAATAGCCTATAATTTTATGTAAAACAAACATCTTGTGGCTCTTCATATTTATCTTGGGGCCCCTTGGGGAGTCCAGTGGGTTACAAGGGACATGAAAAGCTCCATATGCTATTCAAACACTGGTTCCAGAGCTATAAAATAAGTGTTTCAACCTTTTTAGAAATGCTTCTAGAGACAGACATTTCAAACTATGTGCATTTTGAATATTAAAAGCTAACACTTGAAGAAAAATGTATCAGCCAAATCAGTCTTGGAAACCCTACCTACGTATAAACCACAACTACAAAGGGCCGGACCCAAAGTTGAGTAACATGCTTGAAATACATGTCCTAATATGATCATGAAAATTTGCCCAATGTCCTGCTTCCTGCTGGGCCCACCTGAGGAAGCAAGGGAGTTTCCTGAACACAGATTTAGCCTGTAGGTTTTGTACTCAGCCTTCACATAAAATATTGGGTTGATTTATGGTCATTTCAGGAAGCACACACAGTACTGACACAGTGTGTTTTACCAGTTAGCAGAGATTTAGTAAAACAAGGTTAAGGAAGGACTAACTTTACTCACCTCACCAAGTCAGTCATACAGGAGCCAACCACCATCACATCAAACGCCGCTTCAGTCATGATCTGATTAAGACACACACTTCTGTTATTTCTGCAGTAACAACAATCATTTCTGGACATGAAATATCTTAAAGATTCTTTATTTAAATTACGTGTTGATGATTTGGGAGATTTCTTGAATTTCTCAACATCCGTCCAGCCTTTCCAGTAAAACCTATTCATAAACAAGGACAAAATCTAAAGCACAGCAGACTCCTCGGGGGCATATCAGGCAAAATATGTAAACTAGTTTCCCAACAGCCTCCAAACAAAAATCACTTGATATTATTTATCTCCCACATTAGCATGAGCTTGACTGAAACAAGAAAGACGGTAAAAATAGAGCATTCATCGCTGGCTGAGTTGGACAGGTTCCAATCTTATTGGGGGGGGGGGGGTATTTCAATGCTACACCACGTGAATGCACCGCAGCCCAGCAAAGTCTATAATTAATTCAATCCTTGGCTTGTATCAGAGCTAATGCTAGTGTGTTAATCTCTTCAAATCTCTGCCTAGGCAGTGGAAGACTTGGAAAGCCTGGCCGCTGGCTGCAGGATGGCTCAATTCTCTCTCCCACATCTTGCAGCATATTGTCTTCCCTCGGCAGGCATGAAAAGCTAGCCTAGAACCCTCCACGTCTCCACTGCAGGAGAATATTATGGGATCTGCATTGTCCAACTACTTGAAACAGCAAGGAACCCTCTTAAAATTCTCCCTCTCTTGTTGAATTTGAGGCTGAATTATCATACAGGAGCTGACCAACCTGAATAAGTGTTTGTAGAGACTGAATATGAATGAACAAATTAAGAGATGATTGAAGAGTTGAAACTCACATTTTTGAAAATTAACTGATTCAATCATAAAGTGCAGTGGTCACATGTTTGGAACAATTTAGTCCAAATGCAAATCAAGGCTGCATGCGCTGGATTAAACAGTTTAGACTGAGCCATGAGTAAAATCCAGAAGAAAACGTTCTTGGACCCATTTAAAAAAAAACTTGTAAGATTACATATTTTGCCTATGTCTGGTTAGGGAGTCAAGACTTAACTGGGTAATGATTGTCATTACACTGATATGACCATTTATGTTTAAAAATGCTTTTCAAAAGTTTAGATAATGGCTATAATCACAAAAGTACTCATTTTACTCTCACTGCACCCCCACCCCACCAAACACACACATAGTTAGATTGTCAAGAGTCTTTTTTTATTTACAGTGGCTTATTTTCCTAACCATTTAAGAACACTCAAAAGGCAACTGTCAGGGAACAATGAACTAATCAGACAATCTCTCATGTCATTAAATGATAACCAACTAAACATATTTTACTGTTGCTCTTTCTAATGTCAATATATTTTTCTTATTTATTCTGAATCACCCCCATGAGGGTGGAATTTCCCCATTGTGAATCAGCCCTATTGCCCTCAGGCGGAAACACCACTGGTCTTGCTGCACGTACCCGCATCATTTCTATTCCTTTGTGCTCATCTTTCATTATTTTCCGGGTTAGATTTGTTGTGTTTGTACACGTCAGAAACATTTTAGGTGTCATTTCACATAGCCCCTTGAATGATTCTCAGACTGTGAGGTGTTTTTTAGGGGCTATGATATACAATAGTATAATTGCTGAATAGCAATCCACCACTCAAGTTTTTCAAAAAAAGAGTTGACCATTTAATGTGATGTGAATGCCATGAGATTTCTTTTGGTTAAATCAATAAATCTTTCTGTATAAAAACAAGGAAGGCAAATATGACAACTGCAATAAAGGATTTAATAAAAAAACTCATGCATTAGGGTAAACACATAAACATTTATGCATGTATTAGGCTTAGTCTATCTGTATGTATACAAGCATACAAATACCTAAGTAACCAAAGTACGTGAACTAGTGCTGTGTCTCAAAACGCGTACTTCTGTACTTACACTTTTGAGTGCATAAGTGCGTTCACACTGAGCAGTATGGAAAAATGCAGTGCACTATGAGTACCTGGATGGTGCACTCAAAACTGTCAAGAAGTTTAGTGTGGAACTATGGACACTTCTCGCCCTCAATGGTCACCATCTTGGCAACGTAGCAGAAGGGGAGCGACCACTTTTCAAACTGGAAATGGCGGATGAGGACTGTGTGACCGTGAAGGTCGCTGCATTGTACAAATACATGTGTTTTTTGCACTAAGCACCACTGTACTGTTGTCAGGTATAAGCCAGCATTATGTTTATTGGGTTAATTAAGCAGTCTGTAATGATTTGGTACCGCAAACGATAACGCCAATGCTAATGCTAGTTTGCTAATTAGCTAATTTGCAGTCATCATTTCCAGTGAGTGCACAGTGGCCGTGTTTGGTTTGAGACAACACTACCCTGTCGAAATTCGTACACTACGCCAATGAGTACATAGTGCACATAGTATACTACATGGAAGTGTACTAAGGGAAGTATGTGATTTGAGACACACCATAGCACTCCCTTATGTAGGTTTGCAGCAGAATACGGATGAAATTTGATGGTTATCATACTGCCTACATTTGCTTATCAATGGCGTTGAAATAAAAATGCAACTGACCTAGAGTCTGACCTTTTATTTGTTTTGTTTTTTTAACCAAAAAGGTGACTTTTTACACATGCCTCCTTTAAAAAGTAGTTTCAAGTTTCAATTATAGTAGTAAGTAATAAAGTGTTTGTTCAACCCTCCCTAAAAAGCTTTTTTTTTCTTTCCCTTAAATGTCATTGTAGGCTAACTGATAATAATAATAATTGTGTAACACCATGTACCGCGATACCGTGAAACCGCGATATTTTCTGAGACGTTGTCATTCCGTGAACGTCTCATACCATTGCAACCCTTTAGTATGTATTTAAGTATTACAGTAGGTGCTTACTAAAGTATTATAAATACTTAATTATCTTCATATGAGTAATATTGAGTGTTAAATTGTTGATAAATGTGCCTGTGAGTTGTACTCCAATGTCATGTTAATGGCTAGTCTTACTACTGCATAACCTGAAGATGTGGAGTGTAAATTTAAGCAACAACCACGTATAGTGTTGGCTTACTGTACTGTATGCTTTCCATATAAATCCTTATTGCGCAAGTAACGTATCTGTAGCTGTCAGGTAAACGTCACTATGTCACAAAGTTGAAATACTGAGAGAACTTGAAGGCAACAGCGTGTGTATCCAAACATTCTTTCCAACGTCTGGAAACATGGGAACACTGGAATAAATCGCCAAAAACTCAAAGAGAATATGACCTAGCTTAATTAGACGCACTCTGAAGTCAAATAAAGTGCGTTGTGATAAACTGTTGTTGAGAAACGAGGCACAGTAATTACCTTGCATTCAAATTTGTTCTTGTAGAGTGGACAACTCAACACCCACAACTGACAAGTGATGGCCAAAGTGCACAATGACAGCTGCCTAGCGTCGTAGCTATTGCCAGACCCATTTTTGTCAGTAAATCAGCGATTGCGCACTTTGTCTTGACGTAAACGTTTTAGGTTTGATTTTGTCAAACGGAACATGCTTTATAATTTATTTATAACCAGACTATGTGGCTCTGGAAGTGAAACACTCTTTGTATTTAGACAGGCATTATTACAAACAGCTAAGTGTGGGGCATCAGAAGGACCCAAACAACATGTACCGGAAATTTTGAGAGCATGAAGTAAACATTGGCGTTAACGCTTAAATTATCTGATTTCCAGCGCTTTCAGGTACTCGAACTCACACCGCATGTTGTATCTAAATAGACAATAACGAACAAATTTATTTTTGAGTTAGCTAGATGTTGAATTTGTTGCAATTTGACGCTTCATTCTGTGGTAAGCTAACAGTGGCTAACGATACCAAGCTTACGAGCATTACAGTAACAAAATATGACGCACAGACTAATTTCCCCCGAGTCTCTGGATGTTATAGTGTACGCCAAACATCAGCTTATTACCACATTGTTTATTCCTCATGCAATGTGCCCAGCCTACATGGCAGTTTCTAGTGAAGGAGAGGGGGAAAGTAGTCATTGGTGTCCCCGTGACAACCTTTTGGCCCGTGTGTGTTTTTTTATAACCTTAAACTTCCAGGAATATTGAGGTGGATAATCACACTTTGTCAGCCTGCGTAATCCGCGCGTTAAAATGTATTTTCTCCGAATAACGTTTGCCAGAAAGCTAAAATCTTAGAACAGGAAACTGATTCTGACGTTCATTCAAGTATTTCCCTTACGCTAGGAAATGACAGCTAAAAATGACCGTCACCTACGTGATGGAGTTCATGCCCCTTGACTCCTCAGTACACATGCTTGTTTTTTTTCTTGAAGAATGTCGTTTTGATAAATGACGTTTAAGTAGTTCCGCGAATTGTCACTATATGTTCACAGACTCTTCAGAGTGGATACAATGAACAACATGTCCCCTGAGGTTGCACTGCACCGGATCTCACCTGAGTTGCGGCCGTTGCTGTGCAGCGTTGTGCGGAACGGACGTGTAGGACTCGACTCCACAAATTGTCTCCGTGTTACAGACCTCAAAACTGGGTGAGGAGCAGTTCTGGACCATAACTTCCTAATGTGAAACACAGGGTCCATCCATTATATTATATATCATTACATACATCAGCATCTACACATTCAGAATGACTCATGATTAGATTGTGATTAGTAAGAACCTTAGTAGAGCTGTGAGGTGCAAGTAGTGACTGGTTTGGAGGTATTATTCACCATTACAAATTTGCATTCGAACAATTTCTGCAAATGATTACCGTACTGTTCCTCAACATACCGCAGCATGAGAGTCAACCAGATAACACTTTTGGTTAATGTCATTTGTCATTTTAATGTCATGTTTTGGGGAATTCATGTTTTTTTTTTCTTTTTAATTGTTATAGCTTAATATATACACTGATCAGCCACAACATTAAAACCACTCACACGTAAAGTGAATAACATTGATCATCTCATTACAATGTAATGTTCTGCTGGGTCTTGGTATTCATATGGGTGCCACTTGACACGCGCCACGCACCCAAACACTGTTTGTTTGTTTCATGGTAACTGCACCCCCTGATGACAGTGGGCCCCCAGCAGGTCAATGCACCATACCAAATCCCAAAAACTGCTCAGGAATGGCCCCAGGAATGAGCTCAAAGTGTCAACCTGGCCTCCAAATCTTCCAGATCCCAGTCCGATTGAGTATCAGTGGCACGTGTCAGTACCCTAGAGCCAAGTCCGATCCATAGTGGGGCCTCCTTGGATCGGACTTGATGTGGACATAGGACTTCTGGGGGTGTCCTGTGGTGTCTGGCACCAGGGCATTGGCAGCAGATCCTTTGAGTCCTGTGGGTTGCAAGGAGGGTTTAGCTACCAGGGAATACAAAAGCGCTATAATTTTTCTGGTTTGATTGTGCAACGTTTGACGCATTTCCTTTGTGCGCACATTTATGACTGTATGCTCAAGGATCTTGGTTGTGGTGATTCACAATTATTGGAAAACTTGTTTTATGGTCCGTTTTACTCCATCACCTACTACTAACTCCTCACTTGTCTTTATAGGCTGGTGGGGGGCACACATTTAATGGAAAAGGGCTCAGCTGAAAACAAGCCTTACCTAGTCTGTTGCAGGCCACATTTTCGGCTTTTGTTGTGGTTAAAAAACTGACATCCATAGAAATGTTTGGTCTTATTTTGCACCGGAGCATCTGCAGATTATTTCCATACCTGATATGTTATGCTCCACAAAAGTTAAGCATGCTATGAGATAAACAAATCTCAATTTTTTGTCATCTTAGCCTCTATTTTTGATTGTAAGAGAGCCAGGAGAGACAATTTAACAATTTCAGCTTGTCAGTTTTGTTCTGTTTGTTGCACGGCATCATACCACACTGGAGTGTTTCAGAAGTGTGTGTTTTACCTGCCCAGTTTTGTAGGCATGTAGATTGCTGATTTGGATTTTGGATTTCCTTGATATCTGTGCTTCAACTGTAAGTTAGCAAGCAGCTTTAGTCTGTTTTTATTGTGTTTATTGTTGTTATGTCCTTCTTCATCGTCTTGTAGCCTACAAACAAAGGTAATACCGTTAAAAAAAAACACTTGTGAATGGCAAGGATCAAAGATTCTTGGCTGTGTTTTAGTCATTACAAATAAATTCATCTACATACAGTGCCTGTTAATAGAACTCAATCTGCTGTATGCTGCGTTTAACCCAGGCGGCCGCCTAGCGGATATCTGAACTTTTGTAGTTATGCTTGTATATATATGGCTAAATTATATATATATATATATATATATATATATATATATTAGCCATGACATAATATTTAGAGAACCCTTGTTAATGAGAGCATCCAATGTAGTATACCTGTGACACAGTCTAAAAGGCGTCAGTTTCTGTCTGTCTGTGTTGCAGGTAACTGTAGGTCTCACTCTCTGTATATTTGCCATGCCTGTACTGCTGTAGCTGTTTGTTTGAATTAACACCATATGGGTTGGTACACCTTACCATCGCCTTGGCATCTCTGTCTACTGCAACATCCAGCGGCTGAATGTACATTCTAACATACCTGCTGGCAGACAGAATTGCAAATCGAAAGCGAGGCTTAAAGAAAATCAATGTAAATGCTGATGGTGTCATTATTCTATAGCCACTACATTGTCCAGTCAACTTTTACTACATAATGATAAGCTAGAGTAAAAGATTTGCCTATTTACAGTCTAAGTTTACAACATCATAGTTAGAAAAATGTTGTTTAATTATTCATAAACCTTGCTTATGCTTACTATTTCATATTTTAAGACTAATAGATTAATTATGTCTTGTTGATTTCATTAACTCCAATGTTCAGATGTACATCTCTGACCCCTGGTCCCTGCTGTGATCGCTTCAAACTTCACATCCCCTATGCTGGAGAGACCCTGAAATGTAAGTAGACGAGTCACTTCCCTATTTGGTGTTTTCAAATGAATCCGAACAGTTTAGTCTCTGATGTTTGCTGAATGGCCACTAATATTTGTAGAATCTTGCGTTGATGAGTTGTTGTTATTGTTGCCCTTTTAGGAGAGAAACTATTACCAAACATTGCTTTGCCTTATTAGGTCACAAAGTAGTAGTAGAGTTAGAACGAGGGGTCAGCTAAGGCTCCTCGTAATCTTAAAATCAGGCTTGTTTATTAGTCTTTATCTTTAAATTTGTCCCAAGATTGATGTACAGCAAATACAAATTAAGGAATAGTCACTGCATAAACACTTTGGTCCATTTGGATGAATTTTTTTCCCATCTCTGTGCTAGTTGTTTGTACTCTAAAACGTAAGTGCTGACAGCGTTTTAATTTGCAGTTTTCCCACTGAGCTTAGGTTAATTGATTCATTGTCTAGAGCAATGGGCCTGCACTTTGAAAAAAGCAACACCAGCTCTGAATTAATAATTTCAGATAAAACATTTCATTCCAACCTTGATTAGTTTTGAGAGATCCACTTCTGTCTCACAGTGGGCTGGTTTGAAGATGAGGGGTGGTTTCAGGTCAACACCAGCCGAAGTCACCAGCACCAGCGGATAAATGAAATCAAGATATTATTCAAAACACATACTCAGGGGGGACTCTGAAACTTTTCAGTGGAAATAACCCTACAAGAGCTTCGGTTGGCTCGAAGGCAGGTTGCCAATGAAAGCACCATGTAAACATTTTGTATCACTTCAACAGATTGCATAATTAACCAAATGCCACCACGGGAGTGTTTTGTAATTGCAGTTCCATAGCGAGAAGTAAGTCCCACGATAGTCTCTTACACAGACGCCGATGATGTCAGCACTCTGGCTGACTCTGTTGTCTGTGGACATTCCCATAGGAAAGTTGTAATAGCACTAGCGCTGGCTCCCAGCAGCAGTGATGTGATTGGATTCAAATCCGTTTACTTCCGTACTTCCTCGACCAACGGCTGATTAGCTTTGCCTTACACCCGCCTACACCGGAATTGCTGTTCCTGACACCGAACAAACCCGAAAAATATCCACGTTTCTTCGGTGTAGTAGCCTGAGCCATGACTGACTACATTACGAATCTACATCACAGTACGACGCACCGGTAACCTGCTCTCTGTGTTTCTGATACATCTCTGTTACATGTAACACACGTGCCGTACCTATGGCAACGCTGTCATGTGGTCTGGATATCCCCGCCCATTTCTATTACAAAACAAAAGACGGATGTCCCCAGACTCCCATTCCGAAGCAAGGGAGGCTGGTCACGCGAGACTAGTCCCACGACACCCACAGGACTCCTTCAAGTACATAAAAACAAGATGAATGTTTTTGTGATTATGGGGCTGCTTAATCAGTGAAATGATACCAGTCAACTTGCTGTTGTCGGGGCCACTGAACTTTACTGGAAGTGTCCCTCACTTCGGAATCAAGTCCCCACATCAGAGTCTCTCCTGTATGAGCATGCCTCAGTCCCTAATTGGCAACATCAGTAAATGTTGTTAAGTGATTATAATCATTGTTTAGAATGATTTCATCTTAGTGTTAGTGGAATTATGGTGACTCAGAAGGCCTATGTCAGACCTGTGTATAGACACACGTCCTGAAAAGATACTATCAGTTACCTTCTTTCAATTTTACGTGTGCAGGTTTGTCACTAATCAAGTTACCAGTTCAAAGCATTGCAAAAAAATCCTGTATTTGTCAGTTGAACAGAGTTGACGGTTATTGTGGTTACCAAAACATTGAAACTTAGAGGTTAACTTAAGTATTTTTCAACCTTGACAATATCTTTTCATGTTTTTGTCTCTGAGTGACTAATGGAGACAACAATCTTTGAAACTAGTTCAGTATTGAGCAAGAGTGCTGCAGCTGGCAGCGGTGAAACAGGCTGCAATGTAACAATTCGGGGCATATTCACCCTCTCTGTACATCCATTATGCTGTGCTTGTTTTTGCCACTGACAGGCTGAAATTGTTATTATAAATGTTTGACAAGATTTTAAAGTTTCCCTACATAGGTCGACCTTTTTGTTAAGAAGATCCTTAAGATCCTTTTTCTTTCACCAGAAAAGGCCTGGAAATTGCTTTTTCCAAACAGACCAGACTCCATTTAAACAAACAGTAATTTTATTATTGGTAAAAACACGTCATTCAAAGTTGACAGAAACAAAACATAAGTCTTAAAAGCTGTTTGGGTTTGTTTTTTCAATGTGCCAACAATTAGCAACTAGTGTTTGGTTCAAATATACACTTAATTCAACCACTTAAATGGCAAAGTCCGATGGCTTTATACATGCTAAAAATACAGTTTATTTAAATGGAGTCTGGTGGATTTGGTAAGAGTGCTTTTAGGGCTGTTTCTGGTTAAACAAAAAGGATCTTACCCTTTAACAAAAGGTCTACCTCTATATGGGCACTTATAATACATAATCATTAGAGCCTGCCAGTGGCAAAACCGAGCACTGTTCTAGGATGTAAATTGAAAGTGCCAAATGCCCCGAGTGGTTACATTGCAGCCTGTTTAGGTGCTGCTGGCTGCAGTGCTCTTGCTCAGTAATGGACCCGTTTCAAAAAATTTTGTTCGCATTAGTCACTTGGACACAAAAACATGGGGAACAGGGTCCACGTTGAAAAATACCAAGTTACCCTTTAAAGGACACTTAATGGGATAAGTGAGTTGAACTGATTCAGCAGATGATTAAAAATGTGTTATATTAAAGCTATTATTTTTTCATAATTCACATATTATCGTTTGTCAGAATCCCCAGACAGAGCCTGCAACTCTTACTCTCACCCACTTCAAAGACACAGTAGGCGATACAAGCCAGATCTGTCCACTAGATTGGTGAAACAGGTTCTTGTGGCTGATGAGTGTCGAACAAGTTCTTTGAACAGATGCCTACTCATTTCTGAAGGTTTTCCAAAGGACAAAAGTAGCATGTTAATGTGCAGCTCTGTATGATAGATAAAAACCTGCCTACAAGTTGCAGTTGATGGGGTCAGAGTCTGCAGTTTGGAAACGTTATGAAAAGCTAAATTCATTTAGAGGATGAGTATGAAGTTTTTATTTGGCTCAGGCAGTCTGTTAAGTTTGATGCAAATGTGGCACTGCTTGGGGAAAAACCGCCTGCCCAGCAAGGGGAAGTAGACTTTGCTTATTGTGCAATATTTGGTAAAAATCTTTCCAGGCAGAATTTATTGTGACCTGTGTCAAGATGTTGTAGCGAGACTCAAGGAATGTGTAGATGGAAGGTTTAAGAATATGCAACACAAGAATAAAGCAAAAAGCTAGGGTTTTATATTGTGATAGAGTCCCTTATTGTACCATATCTTTACCCTTAAAGTGATACATCTGTCGAAGTTTAGAAACAAGTCCCAAGACCTTGAAACCTGACAAAAAAAAAAAAAAAACAAGCAAACAAGCCACCAGCACTCTGGCATAGCATGCGACATCTCTGCAGCTGTTGTACTAGTTGCTGTACCTTCCTGTGCTTTGGCCTGAGGAAGAACGTTTGTTTAATCAAGGATGCAAGGCCGCAGGTTGGTGTCTGCCAGTCTGTGGACCTGCCTACTGATCGCGTGCAAAAGCAAGGCAGACTCTGCACAGAGCTAAGCGCTATTAATGCAAGCCCAGCCCCTTTCCACTCCACCACCGTGGCTGGTACTGCTAAACAACAATTTGTGGCCTCTGTTGTTGTACATATTACGCCCTTATGACCCCGATAAAATGTCTGGCTGGAATAGAAGTAAGACTTTCGAGAAAGCACGTTTAGCAGGGACTAGACTGCACTTTTCATCGCTGTCTCAGCCTGTGCGAACAAAGCGCTGTATAAAAGCCTGTGTAACCTGTAAAGGTTGCACTTCCACGACCTCCATTTCCCACTGGAGCCATGCCAGTGCATCTCCGACAGCCTTCCAGTGGTTTGTAACCGATTTACAGCACATCCTCTCGTCTCCTCGTTTGACTCCTCTCCACTGGAAAAACATTTCCATATGTGTATGTTTGCCTCCTCTTGCTGTCCCTGGAATGTCAAAAAAGCAGAACAGAACAGTCTTGCAGCACACAAATAGAATTGTGTAACATAATATCAGAACATTGTGAACCAGCCTAAGCAGTGTGTTATGTGAACATGTTATGATGGTTTTGTCCTTGCTTCAGCGAGGGCCATTTCCAGTCTGTAGTTTTATTTTTTTTAATCTTAAATGCATTATGCATTTTTTTTTTTTACATAATAGCATTTTAGTAACTGATTTGTTTTACTCCTGTCATATTTGGAATCAATAAACTAAAAGAAAACTTGACTTTAACTTCACTTAATGTGTCCTATATTAAAAAATTCCAATGCAGTTATCTTTACAGGACAGACCTGTTTGGCAGGATTTAAGTGGCTACAATGGTAAATGTCACATTTACTCATTACTGTAGGTATTTAAATTAAAAGACCCCAGAGCACAAATGCATATCATGTGGTTTTAAGGCAGCAGCTGAAAAAAACAGCTGCCTATTGCATGTGAAATTCAGATTCATGACTGGACAGCTAGATTAAGATAATGTGATAAAACAGAGGTTCCCAACTGGTCCAGCCACCATCCAGATTTCTCCTTAGTCATCAGCTCAAGGTCCGCACAGTTTAATATATTCACAGTCATATTAGTATTTGGCCATGTTGTCAAGCTGGTTTCCTGTCTCTGTTAAGTAGCTGTCCGCTATTCACTTATTCTACAGCAGGAAACATTCTCGAGTTATTGTGGCCCATTCAAAATGAACCTGAGACACACTTTCAGACCACGATCCAGCAGATGGCAAACACAATGATAAAGTATTCCCGCTGAAGTTTCCTTTGTTTCAGCAGTGTCCAAAAAAATGACCCTCCGAATCTTTAAACTAAAAAGAATAAGGCAGATTGCCACACTAGTTTAAGCAAATGACACATTTTTTTCACTTTCACAAATAAAATGACATTTTAGGGCTCCGTTATACACAAAATGACACAAAGTGAGTAAAAAGAACAACAATTTTTTGAAAGTTCTGCATTTTAACATGGGAGTCAATGGGGATCGACTTGCTTCTGGAGTCAGCCTCAAGTGGCCATTTGAGGACCTGCACTTTCAGGTTGACCTCATTTTTCAGCCCTGAAGTTTGCCGCTTGGAGAAAATTAAATCTAGGTTGAAAAAAAGTTTTATTTTGCGGAGAGAGTGTTATGTTGTGATCTTTTTACAGCACACAATGAAATGCAAGCCAACTTTTGGAATTCATGCTGTCTATGTCTGTCATCAATCAGGTAATCAGTTTTCCTTCTTTTCTCCCAGGGGATATCATATTCAACGCACAGTACCCAGAATTGCCACCAGATTTTATTTTTGGAGAAGATGCGGAGTTTCTCCCTGAACCCTCAGAACTACCAGTGAGTATCCAAACGTGTGAGACTCATTACTTTGACGTTTTTCTGGCAAAAGCTAATTTATGTCCAAGTTCATAATGTGGGGTTTCACTTTACAGTGAATATGTGCTTTATTGTATTACTCTACTGCACTAGAAAACAAACTTAACATCAGAGCCAGATCTTTTCATTCATTTGCCACAATGCTTGGTTCTCCTATGTGGTCCTAAATGTCAGACAGATGTGTCAAATTGCCGATCACAACCTCACTGGTCCCAGTAGCCAGGGGGAATTGAAGCAGTGCCACATACTCACTTTGTAAAAGCATACTAGCCACCATGGGTGTGCGCTGTTAGATAGCTGGGAATGTTGCAATAATTGGCAGTTGTATTTCATTATGCCATAAACTCTGTTTTGACTTACTGGATATCTGCAAATCTGATTATCTCTGTCAAGCCATAATTCATCAGCAAGCTAGCCTAAACAAGATAGAGGAGCTGCATGAGTTTGTGTAGAACATGTACTGTGTGTCAGCCTCCCCTGTAATAAAGACAGCATAGATAACCCAGCACTCGGATCACTGGCATTAACAACAGTTGATTAAACAGATAATAAGGTTATGATGATGCTAGGCTTCCAGGAAACATACACGTAGGGGAAATTGATGGCAGTTGTCTTATTTTGCATAATTATAACTTTTGAACATCAGTACCAAGGTTTTTTTTTTTGTTGTTTTTTTTTCACAGAAAACTTGTTTCCAGTGTTGATGTAAATTTGAACTTTAGGCAGAAACTGGTAAAGGTGTTGAGACTTTGTAAATAATTATATGTCTAGTATGAGAACTGGTTTGCAAGGACTGATTTCCCTCAGCACTGTCTAGTCTCAGATGGGGTGTGGTTTGAATGTTTGTGTAGTAATACACGCAGCTGCACCACAAAATGTGGTTACAACATGACCATAAATTCCAGATGATCTGCATGCATGTTTTAACCACACTTTATTTTCAGTCCTAAACAATTATTTTAATGGTCAAATCTTACCATTTCTTTTTGCAAGGTAGAATGGATTACCCTGTAAATATTTTATGGTGATTTTCCAAATGGGTTACTTTACAGAGGTATTCTAAAATCTGTTTGACGTTTTAATTGCACTGTCGATTTAACTGGTTTTGGACTCAGGTTGTGTAAAATGCTTTTTGGGCCAACAAGTAACGTCACGACACCAACACTTCCAGTAAAGTCAAAGCAATTATTGGTCTTGTTACTAAACCTCTAATTTATTTTTGTGTGCCTTTCCTCGTCAGTCACTCAAGTTCCTCTCAAGACTTTATGTTTCATTATAAGGCAAACGTGGCAACTAAAGAAAATACATCTTGCTATCCAAGACATGGAAATCTATCTCAGAAGTTGCCATGCTTTTGATTAAAGACGATTGTGTGGGAGCTAAGCTAACTCATTGGTCTCTCAGATCTGTTCTGATTAGGCTATGAGGTGTAATGATCTACAGGTTACAGTACTTTACAGTATCACTATGCAGATTCAAACACTGTTTTTTTTTTTTTTTTTGCAACAAACCTTGTCACTGAATCTGAAGGCTGACATGTAGCACGGCAAAGGTTTTCTGTTGGGTGTATGTATAATCATGTATTTGTTATTGTACAGTTACATTCAGAAAAATTAATTAATTTCCTCTGCATCTTCAATTATAGTGCAAGCAGTAGCCTTCAGCCACTGACCAGTCCTGCTGAGGTCAATGTTTGAAACATATGAGCTTTGTTGGTGCAGCTAGCATAGCTCCATGCACTACAGACTAGAGGAGATGCATGGAAAAACCCATGTTTTAAATCTTCCTGGACTTATCTGCACATGGCAACACGGTTATGACAATTAAACTATGGCTTAGATATGGTTAGGGTTAGATAACCAAAGTCCGTCTTTAAGGCTAGGAATGATTGTAGTTTCTTTCTAACCAATTATACCCACCAACCGGATCACCGAAGAAGAGAGGCATTTTTAACACTCGGCTACTCACACCAACACAAGCTAGACTGATAATTAGCACTACAGGTAAGAGGATAAACAGTTATTATTGATTTGGGGGTGAACTGTCTGTGACGGACTCAAACTGCTGTGTTTTGCATTAAAGTCAGATGTGTTACACTACCATCCCATCCCATCCACCACCCTGACCTTTACACAACTGCGTCATTCAACATGGACCTAATTCCTGGGGATGTTGAGTTGGATCCAAACATCCAAACAAAAAACAAAAAAAATCTTTCTTCCCACTAGTTCCAAATCAGTCAAGGAAATGAATGTCTCCTGCCTGTCATCGACTCAGTACAGTGTTGACTAGGGAGATTATTGGGCCTTTATGGAGATGTGCAGTCGATGTACCTCCTTGTTGGTTTACTACCATGCAGTTATCCAGTGCTATTTTTGAAGCAGCCTAGCACGGAGAAGCTAAATTCCCCTGCTTGTGTCAGAGTCTGGGAGAAGAGAGGGGAGTATTGCTCACCGTCTCACAAATCCAGCTGTGCACATAAGGGGAAGTACCTCTGCTGAGCCAGTGCTTGGCAGCCCAACGCTTGTTTATTTTCCTCACTTATATTCTTGCTGTGTTTCGCTGTTCATGCTTTCATAATCCTCCTTCATCTGTCTCTCTGCCCGAGATCCCCCTCTCCTACTCACTCCTTTTTCGTGTATGTTTTCAGTAAGTACAACCCCCTCTATTCCCAGCAATTCCTTAAACTTCCCCTGTATCCCCTGGGGAATGTTTACCAACAGCACTGGCAGTGTGAATTTAGAAAGAATCACTTCATAACAAATAGTCCAGGTGAATCTTTGGTGACTTGGTAACAAAATTTAGTAAAAGAAACACCCGACCTATTTATTTAAAGAAAATGAGCAATATTAATAAGACTCTTATTGTGAGCTACAGATAATCAAATTACTGATAATAGATAACATCCATGGGAAATACACTTCACTTTTGGCCCACAAGCAATATGTTTCTAGCCTTTGTTATCCAGTGGGGGTAAACATTAGGCTAATTTTAGGTCCTCTGTCAGTGGCTGGGTGAATTCTTGATGTCTCAGCAACACATTGCTCTTGTTTACAGCCGGCCAAGGGTATCATTAGCTGCTCTGTTTAGCCTTGTGTTTTCCCCGGCTGTCACCAGGCCTTGAGTTAGGTTAGGTATCCATGTTTCTGTTTAGACAGAGAATTGTATTGCTGTTGCAAAAGAAAAAAAAAATGACAGGGCTGAAACATACACATAATAAATCCATGGCCTCAGCCCTGTATGGTACGGTAGCCATATTGGAAATGTTATTGCAAATTAGACGTGCCAGATTTTATTGTGTCATAGGAGAGATGCAAAAATGTGTAAAAGGCATGTGCATGTACTGTATAATTTATATGAATTTGAGTTATATTCTGTAAAAATATTTAATACACCTCTACCAAAGATGTTTTTAGAGAGTGATAGGCAACTCTATAATTTCGATACTTAAAAAGTTAGCAAGGATGGCTTGTTTTGGCTTGTGTTCACAAAGAGTGACGAGTCTGTGAACAATCTTGCGTTAGTTGCCTGTTCACGTCATTTTCCAGCCTTATACCTCATAGCTAGATAACAGTTGAGTACTGACCAACAGCTTAGGCGGAATTTATACTTCTTCGCTGAATCGACGCCGTAACCTCCCCCGTAGCCTGACGTTCACCTCCCTAGGAATGTAACTACACGTTGCAGCTACGCGGACCTCCTGTTTATTTTTGCAAGCTGAAACCATTTCCCTCAGTGGAAAGGAAGCTTTTATTTACTTTAATTTCACAGATAAGAAACAATAAATTATGTAGATAATGAAGCCTCCACAAAAATAGTATTTTACGTCCTGTATGTGATTTGTCCTTCAGAGATTTATACTTCGGGAGAGGAAATTTATACAATGTAAAATGCCAAAGGCTTGTGCTAATAACGTTAGCATTTTGTATTTGTTTGGAAAACATGTTTAGTATAAGATAGTTGTTTTGTCGGTGAACCTTGTGAGTTGTAATGGAGCCAAATTTTGAAACGTTACCTTTGCTAAATGTTGCTGTTGTCCCTGGCTTTATATGAGTAGAAGATAAGTTAGTTAGCTGCTTGGCTAATTTATACAATGTAAAATGCCATTGGCTTATGCTAATAACGTCAGCATATTGTATTTGTTTGGAAAATGTGTCCAGATAAAGACACATGCTTTGTCTGTGACTGCTGCGAGTTATAGTGAAACTGATTTGTGCACTTGTGTTTTGGGTGTGTTTTGAATCAACTGAACTTCACAGCACTTCACAGAAACCCCGTGGCCGACTAGTGTTTTGGAGGTTTAACTGCAGAGTGACACAGACACACCACTACACAAGTATAAATGCTCACAACGGCGCAGGCTATGTGCATAGGTGACATGCATAGGCTACGGCATAGGGTTTGCTGCACAAGTGTAAATCCCACTTCAGCTGTGTTCACAGCGACTCAACAACAGGCTGCAAGTCATTTTCAGTGGACGCTGGTGAAAAGAAGGCACAAACTGAAACCCAACACTTGTTGCTGTGGACAGACATGGCACATGTCAGCGCTCCAATGACGCAATTATGCTTCAACCAATGATATGGTTGTTGTTAGCTGTGGTATTGTGTTATTTAGCTTAGTTAGCTGAAGCTATGCTAGATTTATGCACATTGTAGTGCACATGGGATGCAATGGGGCAGCAAAATGTGATGTTAAAATGGGGCTCAGATATTAATCGAAAGCATAGATATTTTTTTGACCACATACAAACTGTAACTAACGTTCAGTCAAGGGGCTTCGTGGCATTAGGGTAGCTGGTCAGGCTGTTACGTTTGCTTGTAGTGTGAGCACGGTACAAGGATAGCTGATAATGATCAATAGTTGGAATCCCTCTGTTATAGAGAATGGAAGTTTGACGTCATGGCATGCCACATTTTTTTAAGGGGGCGCCATCTTTTGAGGAACACACTCTGGTATTT